TGTGTCAACCTGTCACGGGTAAGAAAGTAGCAGTCAAGCCTCTCTGACTTTTAGATCCATGCTCCCCGACACGCTTTGTGCCAGTACAAGTGCAGCCACCTGCAGCCAATGCCAGCAAGGCCCCGGATGTGTGCTGAGCGTCGGCCCAGCCAACTTTCACACACATGCCCACTACTGTTTCCCTTTCAACCCTCCGGGTAGGTTTAACTGCAGAGGGTGCCAAGACTGCAAGCTGAGCTGCTTACAAAACTGACTACTTCTTTGTATCAACTGGGAATTATCACTAAACTAAAGTGCAAAAATAAATCAGGAGCTTGGGCTAGCAGAAGACACAACCAGCACCCATGGCCCTTGGTTTCCAGAGTGTTCTCCTGGAAATGGCATTGCTGTTCTCACTAGGATATGCAAAATACCAAAAAGTCACAAATATAAAATAAACTCACACTAATAGGCAATGTCACCTGTATGCATTTTATGCACTGAAGTTCCATGTTCAAGTTGCACTGCTTTGAAAGAGAAGGGGAAGTTCCTGGCGGTCAAGATCCTTGTGCTAGAATCTTAGCCCTGCCACCATCAGTTTCCTCACCTATATAATGGGAACAGAACCCCCTATTTCACCAGTTTTTGTTTTTGGTTTTTTAATGAAGGAAAAAGGAAATAAGAGCTAAAACACATTTTAAAAATTAAAAGTGCAGAACTAAAAGCACATGGTGACTTTATCAAATTCACAGCAAGGCCAGAGTTCACCCTCCCTCTCCCTCTCGCATAGCCTCACTCATCCATTTCCTCCTCCAGAAAGCTTGGAATGTGATGTTATAACTAGGACCAATAAGAACATCACTAATAACCAATTAAGTATCATTGATCAAAAAACACACCCCCAAGCCTGCTATGTGCACCAACGCAGTGCTACCTGCCTTGCGCCTGAAGCCTCGGGCCACCTTTATAGCCCTGGAGGAACAACCACTCCATTGCCCCATTTACAGACAGGCTTTGAGAGAACAACAGTACTTGCCTCCTCTTCTGGCTTCCTTGAAGCTCCAATGTGATAACAACAAATGTGAAAATCAACACAAGTACCCAGGGGACAAGGCACAGAGACTACAGCCATGAACAGGCACACTCATCCGTGACCCCATGGGGTCTCATTCATGTTAACACCATTAAACACAGAGGCCTGGGCCTGGTGTAGTGGCTCATGCCTGTAATCCTAGCACTCTGGAGGCCAAGGCAGGTAGATTGCCTGAGCTCAGGAGTTCGAGACCAGCCTGAGCAAGAGAGAGACCTCGTCTCTAAAAAATAACTGGGTGCTGTGGTGGGTGCCTGTAATCCCAGCTACTAAGGAGGCGAAGGCAAGAGGATCACTTGTGCCCAAGAGTTTGAGGTTGCTGTGAGCTGTGACATCATGGCACTCTACCCAGGGAAACAAAGTGAGATTCTATCTCAAAAAAAAAAAAAAAAAAATCCACCGGGCCTAAGTCTGTGGGGGCTTTCCTGGGTCAGCCCCTCCCATTACAGCAGAAAAAATGTTCACAGTTCTATGGCCCTTGATGTGGCTTCAGGGTTTCTGGCTCAAAGCAGACATTAAAATTGCCAAGCCCGACCTGCTGGAGCAGGACACAGGGGTGGGGGAGCACCGAGGCCAGGAGTGCTCCCAGTGGCTCCTCTCCCAGTGGGAACTGGCTGCTGGGGGCACTGGGAAGCAGCCAGGATTTGCCAGAAACGGTTCACTCTTCATGAGACAATGAATCCACTGTGACTAGCCAGGGCCTTGATTAATATTTGCAAAAGAACAAAGTGGAAAATTCCACCTATGGGAGGAGGACCCATAGGACATGTAAACAACCTTGATGGCCTGGTTCTCTCAGGGATGGATCAGATGGAGAGACAAAGATCTGAGTAACAGTGATAGACAGAATCTGGGGACTGTTACTACTCTTGGGTCCAAGACAGACGGTTCTGCCGCTCCTAACCCTAAATCTTCAAAGCATTTTACACTTTTTTAACTTGCATTACTATCTCCTGTTTCATCTGAGCCTCCTAACAGGCTGGCTAGGGAGGCAGAGCCAATATCAGGCCTGGGTTACTGATGAGGAAGCTAAGGCCCCAGGAGTTCCAGAGCCTCACTCGAGGCCCAGCTGATAGTGAGTGAGGTGCAGAGCCAGGCATCTGCACAGAGCCCAGTGGGGCCAGGGATACCAGATAAGAGTGGTCTCCAGGCTCCAGCAGAGGCCCTGCCTGTGGAGAAAGAAGAGGAAGTTCAAACTGGCTCTCTTGGGCGGGCAGGCCTAGACACCAGCCTTGGAGGAAGGTATGCATTCTTTTTTTCACCCACTCCAACAAAGCCCCAGACATGAAGACAGGTGCTTCTTCAGAAACCCAGACAGACCTAGAAGAATTATGACTGAAGGGAAAAGATCAGAAAATCTCCAAAGGTTGCTTCTCTCAGTCAGGAATCACCTCATTGCTACCATTCTGTCTCACCCACTCCACTTAACAGGAAGGGAGCTGAGTGCAGTGGCTCAAGCCTGTAAGCCAAGCACTCTGGGAGGCCAAGGCAGATGGACTGCTTGAGCTCAGGAGTTCAAGACCAGCCTGAGCAAGAGTGAGACCCCATCTGCACTAAAATAGAAAAACTAGCTGGGCATCCTGCCAGGTACCTGTAGTCCCAGCTAACTGGGGAGCTAAGGCAAGAGGATTGCTCAAACCCAAGAGTTTGAGATTGCTGTGAGTTATGATGATCCCATGGCACTCTACCCAGGGGGACAGAGTAAGACTCTGTCTAAAAAAGAACAGGAAGGGAAACTGAGGCTCTGAGAAAAGCAGTAACTTAGTGACTTGCCAGAAGTCAGGGAGGAAGCTGAGACCTATGGTGGCCCTGCCTCCAGTTCATAAAGCCACAGAGTTGTCAGGCTTAATTGTGTCCCTTCCAGCAGGCCAGTCTGCATGTCTAATCACCAAGGACCTTTCGTGGGGCGACACTTGGGACATGGCCTTCTAAGCCAGGTGAAACCATGTGTGCCCAGTGGGCACTCCAGCTATGCCCCTTACTGCATGGTCCCACTAGGCATCACTCCCACATCTAAAGTCCAAGGGGCCAAGGCAGTATCATCTCTGGACCCAATACAGTGGGAAACCCAATCAGGGCTGTGTGGTCTCTTCCTGGCACCCCCTGCCTAAGCACTCCTCTTTCCACTAGTACCCACACCTGGCCTCAGCTGCCTCCACACCACCCTCACATCACACTTCCTCTCTCCTCTGCTTCCCAGCTTCTTCCCTTTTTTAAAAAACAAAACCACCTCCCCATGCCACTCCTATTTTTTTCTTTTGGAGGTAGTCTCACTGTTGCCTAGGCTAGAGGGCCATGGCATCAAGCTTAGCTCAAAGCAATCTCAAACTCTTAAGCTCAAGCCATCCTCCTGCCTCAGCCTCCTGAGTAGCCAGAACTACAGGATGATGCCTAGCTAATTTTTCCATTTTTAGTAAAGAGGGTCTCGCTCCTGAGCTCAAGGGATCCTCCCACCTCAGCCTCCCAGAGTGCTAGGATTACAGGCATTAGCCACTGTACCTGGCTCCATGCCACTCCTATTTCTGACTCTACCTCTTTGCATGCCAGTTACACCTGCTTTTGCGTAGGCCACTGTGATGCCACTGGTCCCCCCCTCAGGCCCCATACCCTTCCTTATTCCTGCATTTTCCTCATGCCAGTCCCACCCACTTTTGCCTATGCCACTGTGATGCCACTGATCCTCCCCTCAGGCCCCTCCTCCCCATATCCTTTCTTATTCCTGCATTTTCCTCCTGCAGCATCTCCTAGTCCTCCCCTCCCTTTGGGAAGCTCTCCTCTCTGGCCCCCGGGGTCCTAGCCTCCTCCCCACCACCTTACCCTGAATCAGGCCTTTCTAAAACTGAAAAGTAACCACTACCAAGCCCCTGCTGTTGTTCACTATCAGTGCCATGGGACAAAGTTCACCACCGTCTGCAGCTGGCAGATGAGGCTGTTCCTGTCTGTGCTTCCTGTCTGTGCTTCCACATACTCTATTTCTCACCGCACTCATCCTAGGTCCAAGGGCACCCATCAGCCAAGAGCCTGGTGTCATTTACCTTTGTACCCCTGGAAGGGTTTGCTGAACAGGAATGACGGTTAGAGCTGGAAATGCTCTCAGGAACCACAAGGCCCACAGCAACTCCCCCCGAGGACTCAGACCAATCATCTGGAAATGCCACCGGCAGCCCCACATGTAGGCATGCCAGAACCCAGTGGGCCAGAACAGAACCTGGCAGGCAGGCCAGGCCCAGCACACAGTACCGCCTCAGCAAAAACTGCTTCAGTCAGCCACCAACCAGCTCTTCCATACCATCTGTACCTCTCTCTAGCCTCTGTCTTCTCACCTGTAGAATGGCCCTAATTCAGCCCACAAGTTTAAGTAACTTCTGAGTTGGTCACCTCGACCTTGGACTCCTGGCTCTGTGACTCCACTGTTAGCTCAGCTAATCTTTGTTAACCTCCTCTGGAACCACTGTCTCTCAAAGGCCACCTCAGAATTACCTGGGAGGAGAGGTGGCTGGGGAGAAGCCTTCTTAAATGCAGACCCCACCTGACCTTGGGTCCCGTCCCATCTGAATCTCTTTTAAGACGGTGCTGAGAGAGCCTGGGCGCAGTGAAACTCCAGAACTGCAGCTCCAAATAGTGCGGAAAGCTCCAGCTTTTGGAGAGACCCAAGTGTTAGCAGCAGACCTCATTTTGTGGAAATACACATTTACCAGGAAACCTGGGGAGTAGGGAGAGGGGATTTCTATCACCAACAGCAGGTAACTTAGTACTGCGAAGAACCAGCTCGCCCCAAAGAAGTCCACGAGGCTTCGCTAACGCGCGTCCCTCCACTTTCGTTTCCCGGGCGGTGGCGTGAAGGGGACTGCGTCTCGGCGTCCAGCCCTTGTCCCCCGGGCCCACAGATTTCCGCCCCGAGGCCTCCCGGGGCGCGTCCCCTCCTACTCACCCGCCGCAGCTCGGCCCGAGGGCCCGGACAGGCGGCAGCCGCCGAGAAGGAGCGGGTGGCCCTGCCCCGTCCTGCAGCACTTTAACTGGCGGCGCGGGCGCTCGGACCGGTTCTGCTCCCGGCGGGGACAGGGGCGCACGCCGGCGGGACAGGGAGGGGTGGGGAGGGGCGGGGCGCGGGGCGGTCAGGGCACCGGGTCGCCGCACGCAAGTGAGCGCGGGGCAGGCGCGCGCCGGGCCACTCGAGCTCCCCCCGGCGAGGGCCGGGAGCAGACCCGCCCCGTCCCTCCGAGCCCCAGAGGGCGCCCGCACTGCGACCCGCCCCACCGCCGGAGGGAGCCGGAGAGCCCGCCCCCCTGCTCCTGGTCCCGGCTGCTGGCTGGGGGGCGCGGCCGGAGGCGGAGCCCGGAGGGGGCCGTCCGGGGCACGGGGATAAATGCTCAGCTAGCGGCTGGCCCGGGTCAGCGCGGAGCCCCGGCGGCGATGTCGCTGGTGTTGCTGAGCCTGGTCGCGCTGTGCAGGATCGCCGTGGCCCGAGAGCCGGTAAGCCCCCGCCTGCACCCTGCCCCCCCCATGTCCGTCCCTGGAGCGCAAACCCTGGCGGCGTCCGACCCGCCAGCCCAAGCTTCTCTAAAGCAAGCGTGGACCCTCTAGGGCAGCCCGGATGGACCTCAGAGCGACTGCAGCCCGGCTGTCCCCAGCCTGGTGGGCGTCGGCGTCCGGCTGCTTGAGTCAGGACTTGGGAGTCAGGACTGCTGTCCGCAAGTGCCAGCCCATACTCTTGATTCCGTCATTTATGATCATCAAACCTCCATATCCTCATCGGAAAAACTCACCGAGGTCTCAGAAGACAGAGCCTGCAACACAGCCCGAGAGCCTGGCCCACGCCTGAGGCAGTTATTGTTATTGCTTGTGGTCTGCCCACCTGTTGGGGCACACGAACTGCTTGTCCGTTAGCACCTGCCTTTTCTGTCATGTTGGATGCCTTGTTCATTCATGGAGGCAAGTTTCCTCTCTTCTCCAGTGCCTTCAATGATTGAAGGAATCCTCCCAATCACCCAAGAGGAAAGCTCATCCCCAAATAGCACTGGTGATTATATCCCTACCCTCCTAGGGTAAGGTAAAAGCATGGTGGTTACTTACTGATGGTTAAAGAAAGACAAACCCCGTTTATTGTTTTCTAATGCTTCAGCGTCTATCCTTACCCTCTGTCTCAAGTTCCAGTCCCCCATGGCGTTTTCCACTGGAGGAAGAATGCATCCCCTCAGCTGTAACTGTGCTGTAAGGCCTAAAACTTTCACACCAGTCCTTTGACAAGAACTCAACTCCTAGTATGGTGGCTTATTTGTTTTTGAAAGAAAGTCTGAATTATTATCCCTTACAGTTCATTTTTTAAAAGACAAGGAGTGAGTGATAATTTTGCCCAAGCCCAAATTACTCAAACCATCAGAAGTCTCACCCTCTGTTTTACAGGTGTTTGGAAATGAGGACACTTAGAGGGACCAGATTCCAGAGCTGGTGAACTTTCACATGGGTTCTTGTCATTGGAACTTGCTGTTGCCTAAAAGTTAAATATATTAGGCTCAGTATTTTACCACAAAACCAAAATACAAATTATTTTTTCTCGTGGAAAGACTTGAGCAGTTAATTTCAAAGGGTTTAATACCAGACTTTCTTGGACTTTGATAATCCAGATTTTTTTAAGTTCTTTTAAAAAGATAAAATGATGAAATCAAGGTTGCCTATGGTTTTCTCTATAATAGCTCAGGTAAGTCCTTTTGTATTAGGAAATATTCTAGTCTAGTTCTGTGACTCAGACCTGTAATTCCAGAACTTTTGGAGATTGGGGAGGGAGAATTGCTTGGAGCCAGAAGTTTGAGACCAGCCTGGGCAACGTAGTGAGACCCCATCTCTACAAAAAATTTAAAAATGAGCCAGTTGTGGTGGCACCTGCCTGTAGTCCCTGCTACTAGGGAGGCTGAGGCAGGAGGATGGCTTGAGCCCAGGACTTCAAGGGTATAGTGAGCTGTGATCATGTCACTGCACTTTAACCTGGGCAACAGAATGAGAATTTACCGCTGAAAAGCAGAGGGGAATATTTTAAAGAACCTGGGGAAACTCAATAAATACCCCACACCATCCTGAAAACCTATAAATATTAGAGTGTGAAGGGGCTTCACTATGGTCCACAGTCATCTCCTGCTCTGTGGTGGGGATGGGTGGAGACCCACCTCTGATCTTCAAGCAAAGGGAAGGGCTGGCTTGAGGATCAGGTATGCTGATGGCTACTCCACAGTCCATCATAGCCTACAATGAAATTGTGCCATGGAACCAGGCTATCTTTTCTTCGAAATTTGGTCACTTGTTCATGCATTTAGTTAGGGGAACGTTATCTAATTCGGCAAAGGAAGGCTTGTGGTTTGCTGGCTTCCATGTGACACTTAGTCTCTTTCTCTCCTGCAGACTGTTCAGTGTGGCTCTGAAACCGGTAAGTGCATTAGAGAATGGGTAGTGTGGGCTTTACTTTGAAAGCATGGTTGTACCTTTAAGGGACCTCTGTATTTAGGATATCAGAGACCAGGCACTGGGGTGAGCCATTGTTTTGTTAGCTGATACAGATGAAGTCTCTGCCTCCTCTGGGGGAATAAAAAGGTGTTTCAGGCGGTCTGGCCTCCCAGCCAGTTAGGACAGCACAGGCAGGGTAGGCCTTGCCATGCAAAGTGGAAAGTGATGCCTGCCACTCTGCAGAGGGAGGTTGCTTACAGTGGGGGCCAGGAAGCAGATGTTTCATAGAAGATTAGGTAGGTGTTTGAGATGTAGCATTTGAAGAATGGGTGGCTTTCTGCCCAACAAATGTGGGTAAGGAGGGGGAGCTGGAGGAGAGATGGCACCAGCAAAGGCTAGGAGATGGGAAAGTGGGGGTTGTGTGGGCTAGCTGGCTAGAGTCCAGGGCAGAGGCACAGGGAAGGCATGACTGACCCCAATAAATATGTTAAATGCACTCTTTATATATAGATATATATAAATCTAAATATATTAATGTAATGTATTCATACACATAGGTGTCTGGAGTGGTCCCAAGTGTTCTGTAGTTTGGAGCCAGCAAGTTCAGAGTATTTCTCTTATGTCAACATCACCTCAGCTATAAATCAGCTAGCACCAAGAAACATTTGACCTGCCTTAGCATGAAGAAGTGATGAATTGAGAATGGGGATAGACCAGGGTGGGTCACTGAGAGGAGATGGCATCGGACCGGGCTGGGAAGAGGAATGTCATGGCAAGTCTTGGCTTTTCCCAGGGCCCTCTCCAGAGTGGATGGTCCAACACACTCTGACGCCCGGAGACTTGAGGGACCTCCGAGTGGAACCTATTAAAACCAGTGTTACAACAGAGGATGATTCAATTTTGATGAATGTAAGCTGGATACTCCGGGCAGATGGTAAGTTTGCCTCAATCGAATATAAGGCTGAAAGTGTCAACTAAACTAGAAATGTGTAGAGACTACGACCCATTAACCCCATTGCTAACAGAAATACAGACATGCACCAAATCCATGTACTGGGCTGTTGATAGTAGCATTATTCGTAACAACCCCAAGTAGGAAAGCTCTCAAAGGCCCAGCAGCAGAATGGATCACCAGAAGGATTCCATTACAGCAATGAGAATGAATGCTTTACAGCCACACACAATATGAATGAATGTCACAAGTGTAAGAAGCCAGATTCAGAAGAGTTCTGAGTCTCTATCTGTGTGCATGCCTACAGTCGTGCACACTGTGATTCCGTGCACAGATAGTGCGGCAAACCTGATCTGGTGGTTAGGGAGTCAAGATAGTAGTCACTCTTAAGGTGAGAATGACAAAGGAAGCACGAGGAATCGTGAGGGATCCTGGGGTGTTCCTTGCCCTGTGGATGGTCACGTGAGTGTGCAAATGCAAGTGGCCACTTACGGTCTTTATGCTTTCTATTATACTTCGTGGAAGAAGATAGGGTCAGGCAGAGATGATTCCCCCTGGTTTAGGAAAAGTGCTGACTTAGGTAGATTACTTTTCCACTTCCCAGATGATATCATGAAACTCTTGGCATTTCCCCATGATTATGCTGCAAGGCACCTTGAGTTCCCTTGCTGAGCTAATCCTGGGATCCTAAGGCCCATGTTTGTGGTTTCTATCTGCTAGGTTCCTGTAAAATCCATCTGTTCAAGAACCTATGAGTGCCAGGCACAGAGAGATGAGTTGGCTACCGTCTCCACACAGTAGGGCTTTCTGGGGAGTGGGCACAGTGTCAGGGGAATCCTAGAAGGGAGTTCTGCTTCATCTGGGTGGGGTGGAGCAGGGAGGCCTGGAGAGGGGCCCTGGTGAGACTGCATGGAGTGAGATGAGGCAGGGAACCTTTGGCTCCTTACCTGGCACAGAGTGAATTCTTTTTTGGCTGCTGTCATAGGCTATGGTGCATGAATCAATAGGGACAAAGGTGCAGTCAGATCAGGCATGGTTTGGTGATAACTCCCTTGGAGGGCCTTTATGGGTTCTCCCAGGCAGAGGCCTTCTCCCAGAGGCCTGTTCTTCTTAAAAGGGACCCAGAATAATGCAGCACTGCAGTCACCTTGGCAGACATCCTGTGAAAACCAGGCTGACCTCTGAGAAAAAGGAGGTTGGCTTTAGGCTTTGAATTCACATCTGTTCCTGTGCTTCGTAAACTTAAGCAAAGCTCCCTGAAACTCCCCAACCCCACTGACTCCATCTGTCAACTGGGTGGAATGGTGCCTATCTTTTAGGGCTGTTGTGAATCTGAGCTGAGGTGTAATGAAAAGCCTCCTACCCATGTATCTAGCCTTACGTCGGCCACACAGTACACGATGAATAAACAACTGCCTGTTGTCTATCTCGGCAGCCAGCATCCGCTTGTTGAAGGCCACCAAGATTTGCGTGACGGGCAATAGCAACTTCCAGACCTACAGCTGTGTGAGGTGCAATTACACAGAGGCCTTCCAGAGTCAGACCAGACCCTCTGGCGGCAAAGTAAGCACATTTAGGTACTTGGCTCATTGTTTAACGCTGGGCCCCTTACGGAACATGAGTGACATACTACACAGACAGGCTGGTGAGCAGAGAGAGATGAGAGCTTGGTCCCTGGGTTCAAACCCCACGTTTGGCCACTTCTCTCTCTGTCTTGTTCCTTGGGTAAGTCCACATCTTCAGGCCTCAGTTTCCCTATCAGCAAAGTGAGGGGAGCTGAGCAAATTATATCCTGGCTGTAAAATTTTACACTTCTGGCTCAGCGCCTATAGCTCAACTGGCTAAGGCGCCAGCCACGTACACCTAAGGTGGCAGGTTCGAATCCCCAGCCC